TTTGCATACCCTTCCTTTTATAATTGTTAAAAGTCTTTGCCTCTTTCAGCTCTTTTCCATTTCTGCTCATACTACACTAACCATAGTTCCCTTGAAAGAACCCATCATTCTTCTTCCACAAAGGTAACGATGCAAGTCTCCTTGCATAGTCAGGCAGCAGGTATCTACTCCCTCTTGCATTTATTTTACACAATAAAAAGAAAAGAATTATCCTGGAGATATGTTGCACAGATCAGCTTCTTCCTCTTCATTTAAACCTCCTAACCCTTCCTTGCATCTAAGCGGCTGGGAATGCACTACTTCATTTCAAAGTAATTTCGTTTTAATGAGCACACCACTCTGAGTGTGCATTTTCAAAACAAAAAACATTCCAAAAGAATGTATCGAGCGTGGTTTCTTCATTAAAATCAAAACACTTTGAACTGAAGGAGCACACTCCATGCCACTTTGATACCAAGGTAGCAAAGCCAGTTTTAATCCATGCATATAAGGAATGTGCAGGAGATTAGCCAGATGTTCAATTACTCCTCCTAAGAAACTGTGTGATGTACTAATGTGCCTGCCTGTGCCTGTGATTGCATGAGTACTGTTGAGTACATACCAAATAAAACAAAAATGACTTGCACATTGGGAATCTGCAGATCCTTAAATTTATACTTATTTGGGCAATACTTCTATGTAAATATTATGGCATTTGCAGACTATCTTTTGAAAGCTGAAATTCTTCCATATATAATAAAGCATTTGGTTGTTCCTAACTACACATTTTCTTGAGAAAAAACATGTAGATGTAAAAACTAGAAGAAAGTTTGTGACACACTGTAGGATTCATCTGACTAAATTTAGGACATCAACATTTTTGATGTCTACTACTTATTCTGGCTTCCTGTACGGCACCTGAAGAGAGACACTTGCATGAGGGCATGTGATTTACTTCGTCCTGGAGTAGATGTCTAAAAGTGGCCTAAAAATGCCTATTTTTTTCCATTGACTCTAAAGGGAAGCCCAGTGTGAAAAGCTCTTTTTCCACATCAGAAGGGGAATGCCTACATTTAGATATCTAATGGCAGGGGTGATGGGTCCTTCCTGCAAAGTTAAAAGTCAAGACATACATACTTGTGCTGATACTATAGTTGTGTTCCAAAACATCCATCTCCAATGATCATAATGAATACAAAGTCTAAATAAAAGAGAACACCAAAAAGACCTGACATTTCAGCCTTCACTTTTAATAGCTTTGGGTTTTTTGCCGTTTATCTCTTTATACACTTTTTAATGATTTGAATAGACACATATTGTTCTAAGGGCTGATCATCTCTTGGAATGTGCAAAATACAAAAAAATAATTGATTTCATGAACTTAGGAAGGCAAAGATGTTACTCAAAAGCTAAATTTTCCAAACATATTGAATTCTTTGAATGATAATGCATATATTTCTGCAAACTGATTCCTTGAAACACAAACTCTAGTGTTTCACTAGTAAGATGGAAATTAAATTTAAAAGAACTAATTTTATTTTACGATGTGAAAAAACTTAGGGTTTATATTTTCCAAAGTGTCCTCTAATTCTGCTGGTTCAGTTTTATGGCCACAAAGACTAGCATCTACCATAAAATGAGTGGACAAATGAGAACTATTGTATGTACATCAATATATTGTATTTTACTGAGTGTCCAGTGGCAAACAGTTATTCCTGCAGTATTTCTGTGGCTAGAGGTGTTTGTGGGTTCATAAGTACACTTCTGAAATCAGAAGCTGGGTTGGATCTTGGCTGAAAATATGTCACATGACATCTTAAGGCCTTCTGATAAGATGATAAATTCTCTAACTGCTGCATAAGCTATTCCCATTATTATGTTCTTAATAATTACTGACCTTAAATTTAAAAAAAAAAAAAGGAAGAATTGTATTAACACAGGTCACAACTGCCTAAATGCATTTTACTTACATGGTAGGTAATGTATCATTACATGATAAAAATAATAGTAGTATGCTAATTCCAGAGAAAGCACCTGGAAACATAAAGTGGAAAACAGAGGAGGAATCCAACTCCCTGTGTTATGCAGAAGACAGAAAAGGAGGCCTCCACCACCTGTCTTGGGACACCTCTGTTTCTTCAGAGAAATGAAAGGGGAATTGCCCCTATAGGACAGAAATCCATGTACTTTTATGTTGGACTTCAGGTGGGACAGCAGTATGAGCTGATAGGAGAGGGAAGCTTCCTACTGCTCAGGATCTTCTCCTTTGGAGATGATCTAGTCATGCTCTGTTTGGAAAAACGTGGGCAGAATGATCTTGAATGTCCTGCTGCAGGTTTTGCTGCTCCATAGTGTCTGACAAAGCCTTGTCTTTTGAAAGGTCTTGAAATCTTCTATAATTATATGGTACCGGACATCAAAAATATTTTGAAAAAAATCCCTTGCCCTTCCTTCTTTATTTTGTTTATGGCAGCAATAAAAGTTAATCCAGCTGGTCAGTTCTAGCCATAGCATTTTGGGGCTTTACCTCAACCCTTGCTTCTTACACACTGCATACATAAAACCAAAATCACATTCTTTATCTGGCTGGATCTGTTTATCTGGATCTGCTTGAGACTCTGATTTTCTTCTATGTTCTTATCTTCAATTTTTTGCAGCACATCCTTATCAAAAGATGAAGTAATGCTCTATAATCAAGTAGTGTTGAGAACCACAAAGGCAGACACAAAAGCCAAAACAGTTCCTTATGTTTCTGATCTGCTCTAATATCTGTTTTTTTCCTAATACATCGAATTATGCTGGGTTTGGTTAGGTTTAATAACATAACTGTTTACAGCTTTCTGGACCAAAATACAGCTTTCTAAACCTAATATGTTTACCAAGTTAGAAGAGACTAAACATTTGCTACCATATTTCATTATATTTTACTACATTTTCTACTACATACTTAGTAGTCTCTTCTGAGCATAAAAATGATATACAGAACGGTGATTCAGATTTGGTGTCTATATCCCATCTTAGAGGTAAGCTTAAAATATGATACAAATACAGTTAAAAAAAATAACTCTAAAGGAGCAGTACATTATACTCGTAGATTTTCAGGCACATTTTCCAAAGTGGCTTCAGGAATTGGAATTCTGTGTAAGATGAAGTAATTATTGTCCCAATTTTTACAAATTAACTAAGGTCTCCTTTTTTTAGGTCTCCTAGATGGCCTTTATCACCAATGGAAAGAAAGAGGCATCACCAGAGAGTAATTTAGACCTCAGGTGGAGTGGATGGTATGGTGGCAGGTATGTCTATCTTATCAAGGAATTATGAACCTTCCCTAGATATCTCACCCATGTGTCTAATCTTAACTGGGCTGGATTTGAGTCTCTGTATCTGACAAAAAGTGTCTGAAAGATGGTATTGTAGATAGGTAGGAGAGGATACTACTAGAAGGTGACCTTAGCTATCCTGCTTCTGGGGTTACAATAAATTGCAGAAGAACTCCTGTGCACCACCTAAGATCTATTAACTAATATACCTGAGCTGAGGGCAGTAACTTCTTTAACGATGCAAAATTGCTTTGGAAGAGCCTGTCTGTCTGAGCACTGAGTGGGCAAACACTTACACTATCTTTTAGAAATAATTTTGAAAATTTATCCCGAGTTTATACATAGTCACTTTAACAACAAACAAAAAGCGGATACTATTTGATTACTTGCAAAGCCCCACACTTCTTTTTTCAATTAATTTTTTCAATTATGTCTTGTAAAAACTTATTATAGTACACACACAATATAAACAGCATGGAAAATATTTCACTTTCAAAGCTTGTAAAGGCATCTCTTGAAAAGAAACTAAGTTCTGATCTTCTGCCCAAACTCTCCAGTCAATCCACACATAAAACTTCAACTCCATTTAAAAAGAAATATCCATAAGTATCCCCTATTTATGAAGTATCGGCTACAGTTCTGTGTCTAACAATTGAAGTCTCTGTTTCTCTACACAGACGGGTCCAAACATTGTAGACTAATAGCTAATGGCTTCAAGTTTGCACATACAGTAGACTTTTTTTTTCCATTTGTGACTAATAGCATGGCTTCAAGTTTGCACATACAGTAGACTTTTTTTTTCCATTTGTAACTTCTTTCAGAGAATGAATAAGTACCATATTTTTCTCATTTGTCCTTTTCTTTCCCACCAAATGCTGTGTTTCATAACATTTGAAATGCTGGTGAAATGTATTTCCAATTCTTAAGGAGGCCCAAGTATGAAATTAAGTCCACCTCACTGGTGGTTTTGCATAAGTAAAAGCTTAATAGGAATGACAGTATTTGACACATAGGTCTTAAGAAACGATGTAAATAGTTTTCACTTTTGTAATGTTTAAATCCCACAGATGGATTGTAGTAATGAACTGAATCCCTTTTAAAGGCTTTTCCGTTCACTTTTGCAATCTGACTGGAATCTAAGATACTCCACATGAAGTCCACCTGTACCTGTTGCACACCTCAGTTGTAGCAATGTCTGCACACACATGCAAATAAAACTAAAACAGTAAATGGTGAAATATTGGATGGAAGAATCCAAGATTTACACTAGTGAGAGCAGAATCAGACCTACCATATCTGAGACAGATATGATTGTCAGCAATAAAATGGAACTGCATGTGCTTGTAGGTAGGGTCAATGATTATCACTTGTATCTTGCAGGAATAGTTTTTCTTCTCATAGCAACACAGTATTTTCCAGTGGACATTACCTGTTAGGTCACGAAATCCTTTGTAGTCGTGTGCAATGTTAAATCTCCAGAACTATACAGTTTCATACAGACTGGCTCTCAAACTTTAATCTTGTTTTCTAGGTACAAACACTTCTGATAATAAGAGAAATATGAACAGCAGTGTATGATCCCAAACAATAATTTATACTGAATGAAAACATTAGCTTCACCCCTTAGACACAAGACACAATTTATTGTCTTACCGTATAATTAGAATAACAGAGCATGCAATTTGTTTATGCGCCACTGACCTCTAAAGAGCTCATTGATATTGTGGATCCAGTTTCACTTCTTGACAATCCTGCATTGTCATCCAGCTCTGAGGCAATGAAATTCTTCACTGCTGTGCGGGGCTCAAATGGTAAATTCTGCATATGTTCTTGGGTGGGAAGATGCTGGTCTAAATTAATATTAAATTGGTCCATTACAGAGGGATTCATATTGAACTCTGGATTAACTTTGTAGTGCAACAGCCTTTCATGAGGCAATGTATCCATGCCTATATTCATTTTGCTCTCATCTTTCAGTGATGGCTGGGTATTTACTGAGCCCCGGGGCATGACTATATAGTCGCTTTCTATCATCCGTTCTTGAGGATGGACTATGTCCATATCTGCACCTCTCAAATTATCATCAGTGCATAAATACACAGTCCTCCGCAACTCACTGTTGTCTTTTTTCAAGCACTGATTGGCCAGTTCACTCATACTCATAGGCATGTGGAGACCTGTTGGTTGCTGGATGATGACTTTGGAGATGATGTTTCCAGGCAAGGTAGAATAGCTCATTCCTTCGGGGTTTGGTCCCTTCTCCTCCTCTTCATCATTTAGTGAAATTCTAGAAAGTGTTCCTGTTACAGTAGCTGCTCTGCAAGGTCCAATGTCTTTATGCAGAACTGTGGGTCAGAGAACAGAATTTGTACAACATGAAACCATGTCTGCCTAACACTGCTTTTTCTTGTGGCTTTATTTAGCAGTGGTCCCTTTACCAGTACATCTTCTTAACTTTTTCTATCCATTTAATAACTTTTATTCTATAAATATTGTTTTGGGAAGGTTTGGCTTTTTTTAAAAAATCAGCATCTCTTAATCTACCGTGTATAACTGACACAGATCCCTGACTAAGCCTCAGTCATTTATATAAATTAAAAACACTCCTTTATTTATTTAATCATAGAATCATTCAATCAATCATTCCTACTGCCCTACATAGATCTTAGGTGACCTACAGCTTAAGCAAAAGCCTGCCATGTGGAACTTGATTAAGGGTTTTCCAAAAAAATAGACTATGACATCTGTACTGCCATTATTAACTCCACATAACCTCCTGGAAAATGTCAAACAGATTGTAAGGCAGAATTATTTTGTCAATCCATTGTAATGACCTACCATAAGATTATAACTATGAACATGTGTTCCTGAGCTCCTAAATGTTCCTTTTCACTGAATTTTTTAAACTCTTCTGTGTTAAATAGTTTTTAAAATAAAAGTGATAAAAAAGTAACCACATTGGGAAGACATTCTATTGGCATCAGAAAGACATATTCTGCTGCATCTGAAAAGGTTATAAAGAATATAAACATGTCTCCTAAAACATTCATAATACACTTTTGGTGTAAGTCTAGACCTTCCTGGTCAAACTTGTAGCAACATCCAGCAATTTTTTGTTGGGGAAAGCTCCACGTGTAAAAGTTATTAACCCTGTCATAGAATACAAAATTTCCAGGAGCACGGGAAGATGCATTCAAAAGCAAAGCATCTATTAAATCACAATTATTGATCTTAAAAAATAAATATAAGTCTATAATTCAATATTTGTAATGAAAGAAAAAGGTTAGATAGTAAGAAAAAAAAAAATTGAAGTAACAAATTACTGGGCTTATTCCAGCTGGGTGCAAGGATTTTCTTGTCCCAGTTGAAAATACTTTAATTCACGCCAGTGCTAGTTTGTGCAATAAAATCCAGCTCATGGGCTGAGACAGTAAGACAGCTCGAAGTATCTCAGGTGTTACATTTACATCCCTTTTGGCAGCCTGAGGGTTCTGATGACCCAGATCCCCCAGTACCTGTCAGTTCACTGCCATGTTCTATAGCAAGCAGCTCATAAGGCATCCCACTCTCCTACCTCACACAAAACTGCCTCTCATTTTTCCATTATGAAAAGAACAATTTGTGTCTAAAGAACAGTACTCAAATACCTGACTGCAGTGTGGCTGCTTCATTCTTTCCAGTCACACTTGTTAAGACACTTCAACCAGTGACCTATTCTTAAATCTTTCATTAAAAGAAACTGAGTTTAAATGTTTCTCTAGTAAATCCCGTTCATAACTGTATTCAGAGTCCAACTCCTTAAGGATGCCCCTGACAAGGCTCTCCATACTGCAGAGCTATATTGGCAAAGGTAAGAAGTAGGAGCTACACGGACCAATGCTGGACTTTTGTCTGCATTGGTTGGTGACAGACGTGCATTCATGTTACAATGTACTATCCTGCCCCCTTCAAAATACACATGTATATTAAAATTAATCTATATGGAAGAACTATTACCATATTGCAAGAAACTGAACTGGCAGTTTTTTAAAGGTGGGTGACTGGAAACTCAAGCTTTACCTCAATGAGATCAGCCTTCTTGGCTCCCCATATAGCCAGTGAAGAGAGACAGTGTCCTTCAGGTGGGTGATGAAGAACAGTTAAGTCAGGCTTCTGCCCTGACTCACCCTGTGGAGAGGACACCCTCTCTCTCTTTCTTTCTCTCTTCATTGAAAACTGAGGGTGTCTAAGCAGGATTGCCCCCCTAGGAAAAACTGTCCTTTAGGAATATCTCCTAGATTTAAAAATTTCTATAGGGTTTAAACAGTCATTTATTTTACTCTGTACTTTATTTAAGCAAGTTTGGCAAATAAATTGCTTAAAATGTGTTATTTTTAGTATGCAGAAACAGACATAGCTGACTAATGAAAGATCACACTACTGAAATGTCTTAAAAAATCCCCAACTTGTTCCAGTAAAGTGGAATCAAATTTCATTTTCCTGATACCGTGCTGCTTATGCTACTGTTGATTTCACTTAGAGTCCTAAAAAACTTACCCTCTTTAAAACTAACACCAATTGATGCACCCTTCATGTACATAGCTGTTAAGAAACACTATATATATATATTTTTTTAATAGCAAAATGACTGTTTCTCATTTGCTTGTGTACCAGGGCAAGGGAAGTTTTGTGTGTTAAGACTGATTTTCTTTCCAAAACCATTTGCCTTCTAATAGACAATCACACCTTTGGCTGCTTCCCAACTGCTGAATTCTAGTAAAACACACTTGTAAGAAAATGCAATAAATTCATACAGTGGCATCACTTTTTTTGTTTATCTTTATAAATATGTGCTGTAAACAGTTAAACCCTGATATTTTTCTGGTTTTCACTTCACAAGGAACTAGTACAAGGCTTCTTTTTGTTTTTTAAATACTCTCTCAATGTTCTTACCTGACCGACAAGCAATGTCCACGTCCTTTTCAAAATCAGTCTGTAACAAGAAACAATGAAACAGGACAACCATTATTAATTGAAAACTAAACCACAATACCTTTTTGCCAACTAGCGCTTCCAAAATGTCCTACTTACAGAGCCATAGTCTCTTAAAAGTGGTTTCTTGTTGCTGAGAAGGTGAAGTGTATTGTTTTACAACAGCAGACCTTTACAAAGTTTCCTAAAGTATAACTGGGTGGTTTTCAAAGTATGCTGCCTGACCAGAAAAAATAAAATAAAATAGGTGGAAATAGAGTATATAATTTTAATAAAACGATACAGTGTATTGTTTTTTATGTATATGGAAGAGTAACTTCTACATCTCATCGAAGGATCATCTTTAAGGAAGCTTTTCATAGTAATTTTATAAACAGAAGTATGGAAAATAGCCTGCAATACAAATTACTGTGAATAAGTGTAATCCAGTTAGTCCACCCTGTCTGACACTTTATTAATTTGTTATGAAGTGGTTATTTGTTATATAACATTCTGTCCATCCTTGCTACTAATGTAATCACATAGACTTTGTACTCCCTGAAAACAACTATTATATACTTCATCGGGCAAAACCAAATTGTAAGAGCTAAGAATGAATTTTAACAGTTGAAAATCCAAGCACACTTTTCCCAGTTATCAAAACTATTTATCCTGTTAAAGAATTCAAGTAATTTTTAATTATGTTTTTATTTCCATGAAAAGTTTATTACATGAAAAATGTTTAATTAAACTAATCTCTTTCTGGCTTGTGAAGACCAAACATTGGGTTCTTTTTGAGTCATCATTTTTGAAGGGCACCTGCTTGCTGAGCCTTGCATTTTTTTAGGGCCTGATCCTGTCCCCACTATAGTCAATGAGAAACTGTCATTGAAAGTGAAGGGACCAATATTTTGTCTTAATATACTACCTAACAATATTAGTAAATCCAAACTGGCATACTGAGCCAGTCACTATGCCCTTAATTCAAGCCACTAAATAGATTCCCCCTCTACAATCTCTAGCACTTTCTCCTTGTCTGACTTAGTTTGAGAGGAACGCTTTTCAAGGCCTCATGAAGGGAAGAGTCTCAAATGCATCAGTGGTCTTTACACCAACGGTAGAAAAAGTCACGATATATTACTAGATTACTTTCTCATTCTCTTATGTAAGAATTGTTTGTCATAAAGAACACTGGTGGAAGATAGTAATTTACTGTGCTCCACTAAATGATCACACCAATAATTTGAAACTTGCTAAGAGATTTAAGCAAGCAGGTAATGACCTAAACAGACTTACGTGTAAAAATAGTGTTAATATTTCAGCTGTGCATACTTGCCACGTACAATACTGTAAGTTTTTTTCTTTTGGATAGGAACACTAAATTAATAGTCAAAGAAGAAAATAAAAGCTAACCATGATTTGAGCATGTCCGTTAGGAAAAGAACTTGAAGAATCTGCATTGATTGGATCCTGGCAATTTCTTAGTCGACATCTGAATGCATCTTGAACCTGTGAAAACAATATCTTATACTGATTCTTGTGCAACTTTATGTACTCTACTCCTATTAAAGATTAAATTAAACTGTATGGAATACAACGCATGACTTTTCTTCAGCATACTTAATAAATCAGAAGTAGTAAACATAAGTGCTTATTTCTGCCATTTCATACATTTACTATATTTCATGGCTGCTGTAATGTCTGTCAGTCTATTACATCAAGACCACAGAATTAGATTTGCCTATGGATGGAATTAATTAGTAGTCAGTGATGATCTGATACTCAAGCCAAATCTGTCTTGGGTGATAGTATTTGGCTTTGTCTTCTCATTCAGTTTGGTACAGGTCTGATAGCAGGATTAATAGATATACTATTAAACATTGCAAAATAAAATGTATCTTCTGCTTGATAAATGTAAGATTCTTGAAAGACAGTTCTTAACAGTTACTATAATCAGATACATAGCGCTCTCCTAATTATACTTTAAAGAATAAGTCAATTTGAAAGACGTTATTGATTCCAGTCATAATCTCTAACTCCATATATAGGGAATCTCATGCATCTCTTCTAGGAGTAAAACTCTTCAGATCAGGTAAATATCTTCAGTGTGAGCACAAGAAGAAGAAAATTAGACTGTTTGCACAGAGTCTGGTTTCTTGAAACTAAAAAAAAAAAAGAACTTCTCAGAAATTACTATTTACTAATATGATCCATAAAGTAAATTTGAAGACTTGTCCCTAAAACACAAGTATATTTGAGGAATTATCTTTTCATAGGAAAGGCTATTTTTACTTTGATTTTGGGCAGAATGTATGTCTAAAGAAATATTATGCAACACTTCTCTCAGAAAGATGTAGTTCAACAGAGAGGCATATTCAAAAGAAAAATGCAGTTCCTGTTTGCTGACAGTAGAATGCAAACATATTTTGTTGCTTTCTCACACGTACCACAGTAAGGACAGCAAGGCAACTTTTGGAATGGAAAGTTTTAAAATGTAAATTTTGGTTCCCGAAATGCAAGTGTCCATATTAATTAGCAACCTGATTGCAAGATGTGACTTGGAAAACAGAAACTTAGTTGGGTGACCTCCAATCAAAACAAACTAGTATCATTTCTTGTTTTAATATGAAAGTACTCTCAATGAAATGCCTCCAAAAATCTACATTCCATTTATTATCTGTAGAAATTACTTGATGTCTTATTCAGAATAATTAAAAGGGAGAAAATCGTATTCTACTCATGGACATTTTGTGAACAGCAGAAGAGGATAATTCATTAATTGTTGCTGATGAAAAGCCGTCCCCTTTCAATACATCATATTCTACTGCAAGCTGTTTAAGAGCTTTCACAAAAGGAAAAATTAAATAGAAAAAAATTATTTATTTTTGTAATTAGAAAGCATTATTTTAAAGTGCTCAACCCTTAAATGAGTAAGACTGCTCCGCAGTCTTAACAAGTGACTGTGGCAGGGGGGGGGAGAAGACTAATGAGCAGAAAGAAGAATGAAGCGAGGTGGGAAGGTTTGGATTGATTTCAAAACATCGAGACTTCCCACATGTGGTAAAGTAAGGTGTTCTTGACCTGTATTGTGACCGAGATTCTGGTTTTAGGCACTACACTTGCTGTGGTTTTCCATGTGTTTGATGTTAATTTAATTTGGCATCTCCCAGTTGTTACAAATTTAATCCAAATCTTCTCTCACTTTATCAATGCTGAAGTGAGGTCACACTTCAGAGTTTTATGGTCTTGGATAAGCACTAGCACAGTGATTTGACAAAAAAATAAAATAAAAAAATCCCTCCCTCCAAAGCATCCCCAGCTGTGCTGAATCTCATCTCAAGCCTGATGATGCTTGACCCCGAAACATTATTACTTCAGAACATACTGTGTGATCTCACTCTGTACAGTGGGCCTCCTTATTTTTGGGACTCTGTGTTCATGAAGCTTCCCCAGTTCAGATAGGTCCAGAGATCTCAAGAATCTCATGTCCTACTTTCACTACCTTCTATATTAAAGTGGTGAATCTTGATGTTAGGATCCTTCTAAATGTGCATGTTCCTTACAATGTTTCTAAGTGCAAGCAGCATATGATTTGAACATGTTAATAGAATGTCAAATGTATCTGTATCCATCATATCGACATATGTTGCAACTTCTAGGTGTCCTCACACAAGTCAGAAACAAAAAGGTTGAACTTTCTAAATAACAGCTTATTTTTCTAAACTGCTTGTTCAAACTTGTTGTTTGAGTATGTAAAGACTGTGCTGTCTTTATGTTTTACTTTGAAACATAATCTTGTTTTTTTTCCCCATGCCTTTTAAGATCAAGCGACAAGATTTTCTTAGAGCCGGGCAGAGCAGGAGAGACAGATGTGATGAACGTGTGGATACCAGGGAAGTGGTTTCCTTAGCAACAGTAACCAGCTCCAAGCTTTTATAACTTACCCTCTCCCTACTCATGTACTCTTTATTTTTCTCCTGCAATACAGAAATGTGGGCTTTAGACACCAACGATGCATTTAATCCAAATGCTCTCTAGTCAGCAAAGCACAGCACAAGAAGACAATACATGTAGGTTCCTCCCATCACCACCATTAACAGGAGTTACTCAGTGTGATTAAAATTCTTTAGAGCATCTCGTGTTCAAGCAGGTCAGGCAAACCATTTTGCTCTGATGGAGAAGCTTCAGCACTAACCTTTCCTATCATTCTTTGTTCTGTGACACATACCTCACCATCTTCCAATGCCCAATTAGGTATTTAAACAGCAAGAAGAGAAAAAAAAATACTAGGCGCTCTGGGCTAAGAAGGCAACATAAAGCAATAATACCTAACTTATTTTGCATTTTTCTTTCCTAATTTCCAAATGGTCTATAAGAGTTCTCATGCTTAAGAAGTCTTATATTTATCTTAGAAGTTAGGAAACGGAAGTATAGAAAGAGTTAACGTCTTTCCAAAAGACCCTGAATTGATGGAGGGCAGAAATAGACACAACACATCACTTAGTTCTCTCCTAGTTGTATGTCTTACTCAGTGACCGTCCCTGGTTTCCTAATGCAGCCCTTGTCACACAAGTTCTTCAATATGGCATACTAGAGAAAGTAAAAAATGTTTCCATCATTTATGTTTATATCAATATAACTAAGAGGAAAAATGGGGTTTTTATATATATAATTGTAGAAGTCTGTGTCTTCTTGTAATGTAACAACAATAAAGGCATAGTAAAGCAGGGCTGCCCTCTTCTTTGTTTGAATTTTATGGTGATATATTCCACCCCATATTTTTTTTCCTGACAGTCAGAATTATTGTTTTGCCTCTGCTGGCATGCTATAAATATTAGCTCAACCCTATAGGCTATAACTGAGGTGGCTTTGTAGCTGTCATCAAGAGTGACAAATATGTTGGCAGGGTTTCCCTGACAGGCACTGGCAGAGCAAAATGCTTTTGCAGACAACAGAAAGTAACAGACTGTTCTTTCAACTGGGAGGTACCCTGTGCAATGCAAAGACTGCATTGCACACTGTGCATGGTGGCCACTATCTTGGCTTCTACTCACCTAAGGGTCTCAGAGCTAGAAAGCCAGACTTTCTAGAGACAGACTGAAACATAACTTACTGGAGTTATGTCTCTTTCTGTGTAGGAACTTGCTGCAGTAAACAATTATGTCTTTGCTGCTGCAAACCGGTCCATATAAGTGCAGACAATACACATTTTTGAAACAAAAATTGTTTCAAGTGCATCAACTTTTGCTTCTTTGCTGTTCTTTAAGAACTTTCTATTCATTTTCTTTTCCCATATGAAAAAAATTACCTTAATTAGTTCCTCAAGTGTTTTGCACAGTTTAAAATTTAAATCTGGAGGACTAAAGAAGATTCAATGTGTTCTGTCAAACAGAGTTCAAACAGCACTATGCCTAGTCTTTGTCTTCCACCACCACCACTATCATCATCTTGGCTGGAGATAATCTACTGATTAGTGAATAAGTTGTGTCTGTACATTTAATTCTGTAAAGTTGTTGTGACTGAAGGTAAAACTCCTTCCCCTTTTTGATAAGGGACGACATTATCAAACCTAGGTGCTTTTTGGGCCTCGTTGAGAAATCTTCTTATGAGGTCATTTTTTAAAATACCATGTAGATAGATTGATTAGCTGTTTTATCAAATACCTTTCTTCTAGAATTTCAGTGTTAGGACCTGGAGGTGTAACTGCCAAGACTGGCTTGCGGAAACAACTCCTTTAAGTTGTTAAATGAAGTAATGATTCTTTGCAGTTAGATATGTATATGTGATTTGCTAAAAGAGCAGCGAATAAAATAAACCATAACTAGCTGATTGCCTACACACAAACAATTAAGATTCTAAATTCCTGTATAAACATCTTTATAAGCAGATATTTTTGCATAGTTCTTGCACTAGAACCAGTGACTTAAAAGTGGTTCAAGTCAAGGAACCCTACAAATTTGAAAACTGAGTTTACTTATAGAAAAGGCTAATTCTACCTCTGTCACCACAGTCCTACCTGTGAGTAGGGTCAGACAAGAACGTTTCCATGAGATGTTCAGCAATATTGAAGCTTTCCCTGGGAATGAAGGATTTGCAACAAATAGCTGTCATTAGAGTAGGGAACCTGTCTTGAATTCAAGGCTTGGGGCATTGTGGGAAGATGCCTGTTCAATTTCATCTTAAGCAGTCAAAATGTTTTTTTTTCCCACATAAACTCCTGCATTACTGCACTGAGGCAGGCTTTAATGTCTGATTTTTTTTTTTATTTTATACAGTGCTATGCTATGTTACTTTTAGAATTTCTCATGGATTTTGTTCTGTTCTTTGACAAAATCTATGACTGATAACCAGGTATGTGTTGCAACCTCTCTGCATCCTCACAAAGGACACGAGGAAATGGAATTAGGACATGAGGAAATTGAATGAAGCTGCATCAGGAGAAGTTCAGACTGGACATTAGGAAAAGGTTCTCCACCGAGAGGGTGGTCGGTCACTGGAACAGACTCCCCAGGGAAGTGGTCACGGCACCAGGCCTGTCAGAGTTCAAGGAGCGTCTGGACAACTCTTAGTCATACGATTTAAGTTTAGGTAGTCCTGCGAGGAGCAGGGAGTTGGACTTGATGATCCTTATGGGTCCCTTCCAACTTGAGATATTCTGTGATTCTATGAAAGATAATGTTGTTTATACCGCTTTGTTTTTGAAGGTTTCGTCTGCAACTTTGAGCTAAAGATATATATTTTAAAATAAAAATAGTTCCTCAGGACAGTGAGTGGGAGGTGGTATGCCCTTTCCAAACTAATTAATATATCCCAATGGAAATACAAATTTCATAGACAGGAAAGCCAGTATGGAACTGCCATTCTTTCTACTGAAGAATTTAAGTAAAAATAGTTGCAGTGTCTTACCATTTTACTAAAAGAATATGTGAAATGATAGCTTTCAGTTCTACAGATGAGAATACCCTCTTTCACAGATGTAAATCATATGGGGAAAGAAAATGCTGTAGAAAATAAGGGGATAGCAAGACACTTCTACATAAAATAGATTTGTCTTGAGTATTATCTTTTATTCTGCACATATTTTTATCCTGAACAAAAAAAAAAAAGAAAAAAGAAAAGGCATTAAAGGAGGTAAGACCCTTCCACTATGAAAGCTGATAAACTAAGAAAAACAAAAGTTCATAGCGTCTAACAGCTTGAATAAAGTGGGGTGGAGTCAGCACAATGGAAGATGTTATTTTCTGCAAGATATTGATAAGCTTTTTCCTTAAAAATTGGAAACTTAGTTCTTTGATAAGATAATCACGTATGCATAGTGTGTAGGATAGTGATATAAAGTTCATGCAAAGTGATACACTACTGAAAGATTGAAATAAATTATGTCACTCATAATTCTTTTTCATGAATACAGTGAGTTTCAATGTTTAAAGGGTGTGAATGGCAGAAAGGGAAACCACTGTGTGATTCCTCACTCAGCGTTGACAATTAGCCTTTCCTGAAACATCTTCCTGGTTTTTTTTGGTCCTGAAGTGCTTTTCAATAACTCTTACCAATCACAAGGAACCATGCTAGACAGTGTAATTTGGTTTATTGGTGTGGTAAATATCCTGAAGTTGATAAATGCCTAACGCATAGGTATGCCAGTGGACCAGGTTACTGCTCTCCCGTCTGGCTCCGCCTACTCATTTTTGATAGATGGTCCCACTACCACAGATCTGCCAGCAAAGCTGTTGTGTTACTGCTCTCAAAAGTATCTATCTCAATAAAAATGTACGGTTAGTTGGCAGGTTTGAGAAGCTGTCACCAGAGCCAGGTTAAAGGGCACTTGTGTGATAGCTTTGACATCAGTTTTCAGTGGTGATGAATTCTGCAGTGGGTGACACCGAGCTGTGAAGGACAGGCCAGGGGTACTAGCTTTTCATTGCTGTTCTCAAAGCATTCATCTATCTTCATCCTCACTGTCCCCATAACTTAAGTATGTTACCTTAAGTATGTACCTGAGTGTGTAGAACTGAAAGGGTAGATTGTCACCAACATAACACCTCATCTCCTTATGTCCTCTTTCAGGGACAGTATAAGCAGAAACCATTTTGTGTTTGAATCAGTTTTAGAGACTGTAAAAATCTATAGCTTTTGGTCTTCAGGAAAAGGGCATTCATGTAAGTATTACCCTATACTCACAATACTGGGAAAGCCTAACACTTAAAAATAAACTGAACTTGGGAATGATTAAAAGCCAGATTTAATTAAGTGGGCACAGTTCTATACTGAAACTGACATTCTGCACCTGGAATTAATTGATCTTCCCCCTCTCTCTTTCACTTGTTCCTCTACATCTCACCATAAAATTCTTGTTCTATGAAATATATTTCTGCAGAGCAAGCTGTATATAACATTAAAGAGCAGTTGAGAGATTAACAGGAGCACAGCCCTTTAGAAAACTGGGAAGCCATTCCTCACCTCCCTTCGGAGAATACAATGGACCATGACAATAACAAAGCCTTGTAATGAATCAAATACTGCAAAAAGTATCTGAAATAATATTGATCTTTTGTCTGTCATGGCCAGAACTGCAGACATCCAAGTCAGGGCCAGAAGTGGCAACACCACACAGGAACTCCAAAGGGATGCCCTATTGAAAGAAAGAGAAAAGCAGCACTGTAATATTGTAAAAAAAATGATTAAAAGTTCACTATTAAAATAAAACATATTTAAGGATGGCACTTTATCAAGTTAACTTGAAAATCACAGACAAGAATGTAACAGTGTCGGTACTTTATGATCTAAAGAATATCCTGTATTCAGTTAATAAATATAGTTGCAATTTTTTTTGTTGTTAAAAAGTATTTAAACGTGCTCAGCACTCTATACAGTGTTAGCAAACACAGTTGTCATCATCAAACTATTGTCTCACATGCACTGTATAAGATTTGTAACAAGAAGATGTAAATGATCAGGACTAACATGGCATTACTGGCGGTGGTGGCTGACAAAGCTGTTGTTGAAACTACTCCACACTTGGCACATTTGAGCGTCAAACCGCTATGAGGCTCACTCATCTGACTGCAAACAAACAGAACACCCACAAAAAGAACAAAATATTGAATTGTCACCAAAAAACGTTGCTACTGAAATTTAGCTTTTAAATATGACGTCATGCAGAAAAAGTAAGTAGACTTATTCAGGATGAATGCTCTATGTTGTTGCAAAACTGTACTTTGTACTTTACGCTATTGTTAGCTTTAAATGTTAATGCTATGGGGCTTCATTTCATGCAGACTCTGTTTGTTCTACTTAAGCTAAAAAAGGCCCCAAATGTCCAGTGATCAAAACTGCTCAGTACACTGAAGTAAACATAAGCACGTGCTAGGATAGACACACAAAGTGAAATCCCTCTATTCAGACCTGTTAAAACGCTGTTGTATCCAAACTTGCCTGAGAAAGCGTATAGGACACATAAAGGAGGACTATGAAGTATGTACAATTATAGGGAAAGAAACCTGCAAAACGTATTCAAGCATCAAATCAGTATGGGCGTTCTGTATAGTCAGATTTGTACTAGTGATCTGAATGGCCCACTAACATCTGAAGTGGTTTTATTCATGCCATATGAAGGTCTGAATACAGGGCTTGAAATGTATGGAATCTGATGAAATAAATATCAGTTGGTACTAAAAAAAGGGTGACTTGTTTTGCATTTTAATAAAACACAGTACACAAGCATTAAGCTCAAAGCATTTTGTATGGACAATTGTACCTCGGCACCTGTCAGAAGAGTTAAAGTGCAAAACCTGGAATTTAAATTTTCTTTTACATACAGCATGCATTCAACTTCCTGAGTCGACCAAATAAAGACTTTTGCTATTCCTTCTCTTTCTGCTATCAGAACCAGGAATAACCATAGCTGACTGAGATGCGACAGGAAGGGTGCTTTACCTATTCCCAGCTGGAAAGTGGTCAACATGGTGAAGATAGGTAACACTTCAGTTTTTTTCCCAGTTATTTCAACCAACGTAACTCCTTTTTATTGCCAAACTCATCATTCACGAGATTTTTAACATACTGCCCAAAACAACATTGAACTCCAGTGTTTCAATTTTGATAAACCAAATGATGACTTTCCATAAAAAAGTGCAGTATATTTTCCATAAAAATGCATTTTTTTCCGTAAAAAAACAGTGAGAACCATGACCTTGTATAAGGTGATTGTGGGGTGTGAAAAGAACTCAGTGAATCCACATCAGTTTACACCAATTAAAGATCTACATTAATGAATGAACTAGAAAAATGCCTTGGGTAAGCTTAACCTAAGCTTGGGAAAATACTTTCCATCTTTGCTTGGCAATACTTCAACATTATCAGACTGGATTATTCTCTTTACCTCTATAGATTTGTGCTGGATCTTGCAAATAATAGAACTTGATGTGTATATAGACCAAATATAATCTTTCTGGCTGGGCATATATGCGTGCTACCCCTTATGCCAGGAAAAAGATTGCTATCCATCAAGACACTTGTTGATTCTCCATATGCTTATTAAGGTGGAAAAAACCCATATGGAGTTAGTATATTTTGCTCCATTCACTGCTTTAAATCCTACATAAATGATTTCTACAGCTGAACTTTTGACTGAACTTTTGACAGGCATAGGCCCAGTGTTTGCCAGAAAGGATGAAGTTGCCTTCCTGAGCATGGCTGGCAAGAGATATTTGAGAAATGAGTGACAATCCCCTTTCTACTGGAGGTCAAATGCTGCACCAATTTCTATGCCCCAAAGAATAACTCAAGACTCTTCATCTGCCAAGCAGTATCAAGGGATGCTGTCGCCAAGCCGCCATCTCATACTATCACAAAAGTTAAGACTGTTTCTCGATCAGGGCATCTACGTGCTTTCCCAGAATAGCTGGATTGTTTCTGACAGAATAATTTCTAGTTCTTTATCCATTTACTTTAAAATAGAAATACCTCTTTACTAAGTTGCGCACTGTTAGAAAGCAAGTTATTTGTTTCATCAGGAAAGTATATTATAAGCAAGTAGATTTCTGTAGCCGACAATTGAGTAGCTGAAAAAACCCCCCGATGCAGTTAAATCTAAGCTTGGATATCCTTAGAAAATGTACAAAGCCAAACCCGTGGCTGCTCCAACTCCTTAAATCACTGCAATTAGAGCAGATGTGAATTTGCATTGGTGATTCCTAAGTTACTACTACTCTTGAAATAAATTGTGTAGTTTTATAATATTCTAGATTTCATCAGTGTTATTACACAGTTAAGAATGTTGATGGAGCAATGTAGACAAAAGTAAGGTTAAGAAATTAATACTTTCTAATGAAAAAAAGAGGAAAAGAGAAGAAACAAAATGAAAGCTTTTGGTATATATTTGTCAGAATAATGGCGAAAGAGCTGAAAACCAGAAAGATTTAATTGATTTTATATTAAATGGTAAAATAATTCAAAGTGACGCTGTAATAAATTTACCCATAGCAGTAATACACAGTAAAATAAAGATATCATCGCTTATCATTGCTAGAAATGCAGATATTGGTGGTGTTAACTACAAGCTGGCCCAAAAGACAATACTAGAACATGTGACTGTAAAAAATGATTATGCAAAGTTTAAATAGACTTTTAAAAGTGTTAAGAAGGTGATGATGCACTTGTGAAATATTTTTCTTCAATACGGAATGAATCTAGGTTTGCTGCTGCAGTACTTCAAACCATTGTCATCCACTGAAAAACAGTTTCTGATACCACCACTGTCATAATCCTTTCTTCTCATGATAACAAACAGAATTTGAATGTAAATGCAAGTAAAAAATCAATAACACGGAATTTCCATTTACCTTTTTTCTTCTTTTGCTTTTAAAATATGATTTTACTTTGAAATTCTGTTACACTAATTTAGAACATACATCTATGTAGATATGGATGTACGAACAAAGGCAAATTCTTCACATAGAATGGCAGAACAGCATTGACCTCAGTAAGGGATATATTGCTGTAAAATATATTTTATAACAGCTTACACAAATGAGTAACATTTCCCACCATAGTAATTAAAGTTGACAGCTAGAGAAAAATAATCGGTTCCTTCAGTAAACACAGTTCATAAAACTGTTTTCCTAACTGCAACAACTTTACATGTGTGACATTCTTGTGAAATCTCCACTCAGATTTGTTTAATCCTCATTATTATTAACTTAATACTGTTGTACTTGTGTTTTATTATGTTTGGTTTGTTTAGTTGCATTCCCTTAGTGTAATGCAACAGCAGCTTTTAAGATGAATGGAATCTGTTAGACACACTGTTACACTGATATAAAAGTTCAAAGCACAGTCAAAAGCATTTTTGGTGAATATCTGTAATTGAAAATTGGTGATACAATTTTAATATGTTTTAAAATAACCCAATTGTTGCTTACCCCGCTCTGTGTTTGAGCTTTTTATCTAGGATTCCATCTCTGGAAACAAGTTTATTAAATACCAAAATGCCAATCACCATGTTGACCTGTCAAACAGAAAACAAACAGTTGATCTTTCAGTGCCTGAAAGAAATTACTTTATCCCATTACTTTAGAAAAAGCCTCTTACAGACCTGCAAAATGCCTCCTGTTACATTTCTGAGTATTCCATCAGCAGTTGTGTAACACTGTCCCTGAGCACACCAAAAGTCTGTATTCTCAAATGGATAACACATACGCACACTGCAACAGGCTTATTTTTGAATCTTGAATTATGCCTGGTATCAAGTTATATACGTACATTTCTGCTGGCCAGAAACTTGAGTAATATAGCTTTAATATTTCCTCAGTTTTAATTGCAACGATATATCCTATTCCAGGAAAACCACTGCATTTGAGTTGTGCGCACAGGGAAGAGCTAGTCAGAGCACACGATGACCGTAACCGTGTTCCTTTTTAAGCATTTACGGCCCATGTGGGTGTTCCCATTTATGCAGAACCAGCCTGTGGTTTTCCATATCCTCCTGCACATTAGTCATTGTCTACGTCATTCACCAAAATGCCAGTCCTGAGCCTTGTTTGACTGCAGTTTCCTTTTTTTTGTGGGCCAGATGGATGCCTGGGGTAAGTCTGTTTAGCTCCATTAAAGTAAATGGTGTAAATGATCACATACATGGGTTGAAAACCTAATCTAAAAAAAAAATTCAAGTGTTTCAGCAGTCAGACTTTGGCACTCAATGGACATACTAATGGCATTTAATGGACAACTTAATGACTGTTATTATCCATTTGTATTATTGAACTGAACTCTATGAACCTGTCTCTGCATGGCCTGCAAAGAGGTAATACCAAGTTTTGAACCTATTAAATAAATGTTCCTTATTTTTTTTTATTAGAAAAGGGTAATCCTTTTTTCCTTTCAAACAGATTTTTCAAGACCTGTGCCAAAATACCTAATTGTTGCCTGTCTGGCCTGCCAACTCTTTTCCAGCTTTTCTTATTATCACTTTATTTTCAACATTTACATTTTTCAGCTGATGTTATATAATTCTTTTGCTTCGTACACTTAGGCTTAAGTGGCTGCATGGAACAGCTCCTTCCACAGCTACTAGCTAATGGAAGGGCAAACTGCAACTGTGAACTTCAAACGTCTCTGAACAAAGCTTGCCAATTACACAGAGAACATACAGTTCCATGTGAAAATTATGACTGCCTTTTTGTGAACATCCTTGGCTCCTCTATCATGACAGGGACTGAAAATTGTACAAAAGGATCCTGGCTTGACTCCAGCAATGATGAGACAAACTCTATGGGAGTAGTAAACATCCATTTCAGGGAAATCTATGTAGCTAAATGGCTGTATCTTTGATGACTACTAAGACCGATTCCCTTTTGCAAGGGAAAATCAGAAATAACCGGTGTTGATACAGCTATCCTAGTATAAAATTGGTGGAGTGGAAAGAAGAATTAGATTCAAAATCTGTAAGGGAAAAATTCTAAACAAATTATTGTAAAAAATCCATACAGACTGCAGAGCAGATGACTGATAGCCGATGGCACATGTAGGGTGCAATTCATCTTAGCCTAAAGTAGACACCTGAAATAATACTGATGGTTTGAGCCCTAAAAGTGTGTGTTTTTCTTTACTGACAATGAAATATGGCTGGGATAACTAGCTTAAATGCAGAAATCTACATTGCAGATGTCTACAATTAGGCAAAGTGAATCTTACACCTAAATGCATTTCCAGAGATGTGGAAGATTAATACACAAATGAGTAACGTTTCCCAGCTATGATGATTTTTTTCTTTGCCTTCAAAAGCAGTAGCCATGGAGAACTTGCTGGCTGGTTCCACTCCTCCTGTTGCTTTTGCTGGCACGGCAATACACTGCCAAGTAGCACTCTGTCAAGACCGTCACTGAACTTCACAAGGCAGTGACAATTGTGTAGATGCTACTGATAATAACTCAGTGATGCCTGTAACAAGTTTTCTGTGCTACTAATCAGTACATTATTCTTTCACAGCTTACTGTGTAAACATGGAGATATAACTGGTATGAAGAAGTGGTACAATTAAATGAGTCATGCATTCAAAATACTGAAGGTATGTTAAACAATACTGAGCTCAGTATTTACAGCAAAATGTAATGCTACTGTATAGCTAAGCTTTTATAATTTAAATAGCACATTCCATCATTTTGTATGAAAATACTGGAAATTATATTAATGTTTACCAAGACAACAGCAGCTGCAGGTCCAACGAAAGCATAAAGTAGCCCTCCTTCAAGAGACAGCCAACAGCTGGAAAGAACATTAGAGAAGAACTAACACAAATTAAAAATAAGAATAATGCATTGCCAAGAAAGCATTAATAATTACTACAGCATGAGATTCTTCTGGTGTATGTTCAATCCTACATATAGAGATTCATATGCACACACAAAAAAGAATTACTTTGCTGATATGATGATATAGAGAGTGAAAGTTATTTCCATTACCAATTGTTAATGTTTCAAAAGTTTTAATGTGAATTATACATATACTGAAATGCTTAAAATTTATTAAGAGCACAATAGAAAATAAGTTTGCAAATCTTTATTAAATCTCCTCTAACCATGAACAGGACTTGCCAGGTAGGTATCTAGAAACATTTCCAGCTTACAATGTCTGACAGTTCTATACTTAAAGCAATAAAAGGTCAAGTACCTGTAACGTAGAACTTCAGAAAAAACAGGTTTCTACGTATCTTCTCTTATGTCATTTAGTAATTGCTATTAGAACTAGGTCTTACAGACAATATTGCCATTAAAGAAGAATCATATGTGATCTAACTGTTCTGTATTCTCTGGAATATTTTGCAAACAATTTAAATGTATATTTTAAAGCATCTGAAAACTGTATTTTCTGGTGAGCTACTAATCTTGCAGTTTGTCATACTGCATCAGGGCTTTCACTGAAAACCATCAGATTTCCAAACACAGAGCGCTTACAGAATCAAATTCTAAATATTTGATACACCATGATGTAAAGCTTTCCATAGCTGCAAAAGATCAGGAGCTTCACACACTGAAGTAAATGCAGCTGTGCTATTTTCCCAGTGATTACACATTCAAAGAACTGCATGTTTATTTGAATGCATGATCACACCTACATATACGAAAACTCAACTATACGCATTCAAATAATTTACTTGGATCTCACATCCAGAAACATTCACATCAGAACCATACACATCATCTTTATTTTCCAGTACTGTTTTTTTACTTTTGAAAAACAAGTAAATTAAATGCAAGCACATCATAATATTAATGGTCTGTTACGGCTGGGATTCTAACTGCAAAGAATAGAAGTGTTTCCCATTGCAATGGAGCCATGTGAAATCTGTCACATGAACGCAACTGCATCAGTGTGCTAAATTCTGGAATGATAAATTGATGCAAATACTTCATATCTGCCTCACTGTTAAAAAGGTAATACATGTCAGGCTATTCTACATCTTACCTCAAAAAACAATTACAACAATAATGTTCAATTTAGTTTTGTAATGTCAAAGAAAAATGCTTTCAAAATTTTCTGCAATTTTTCTTGCTATTTTTCCAAAAGCTAGGTTATTTATTGTGAGAGACTGAGAACATGGGCTTCTGAGAGGGGGGAATTTATTCACAGTGCATTTCCCTGCCAGTATGAACTTTTAAACTTAGTGAAGATAAGACATGTTTAAAATTTTCATGTTTATTGGGAGATATAAACATCAGTTCATAAAAACAGTTTATGTATTGTATTTAAAACATAATTTCAGTTACCTGTGCTGAAAAAAAAGTCAACAAGTTTTTTTTTTAAATAAAAAGAAAACAGTTTCTACCACAAAAATCTTTAAGACCAAGGGAGAATTTTTCTCTCCCTTTCCCATGCCCTCAAGTAAAAAGGCTGTTCAAAAGAGTGACTTCCATTTAGAGGCAGAGCTGGAAAAAAATGTAGAGGTTGTCCTCTTTTCTTTACACAATCTGAAGTTTCAAGAATCTGGATTTTCAATAATGTGTGATGTGATTATTGCAATGTATTCAATATCTGTCAGTTGATTACTCTGAAATGCACTTTGCCCCAATCTTTTTCTGTTGAAGACTTTCTGAAGACAGATTCTCAGGTGCCTTCTTACACCGTAAGGCAATTTTTGTCAATTTTTTACTATTTTTTCCTTCTTCTCTTCTTTTTCTTTGCTCTGATAGCTTTTTTCTATGCTTTATAGTTGTTTTTATTTTGTTCTCCTGTCTTCTTTCTCCCTGATCCCCACATAGCAGAAAACCATATACATTAATTAGTAATAAGAGCATCCACTGGTGGTTTTATGGAACCATGTTACATGGTCATGAAATTCTGCTGAGTGATGAAGTATCTGTAGACTTGTTCGTATGTTCTGTACATTTTGTGAGTTGTTTGATGCTCTCCAGGAGAATGGTTCCTTTTAGGAGAGCATGACTATGACAGCATTTTAATTTTTGCTGATATAACAAATTCCTGGAAGTTATCTGCACTGCTCATTAGTATATGTGTGTAAACATGAGTAGGTCACACAGGTCTATTAACTATAACTAGTAGTAGTGGTGCTTTCATAGCTCTGATCGTCTCAAGAGAGGTAGCAACAATATTTATTAGACTCACAGAAATAGCTGGAACAAACAATCAAGCTTTCAGACACACAAATCTTTTTCAGATATCCTGAAATATCTGAAAACTTGTCATTGTGATTTTTATTATTTTTAGGAAACCCCTTCAGCTTCTGTATCTATATCAGTACAAGTGTCTGTGTGAAATATTTTTCATATGTAGTTTTAAATGTACAGTAATATAATTGTCTAATAATTAGGACTGAAAGAAAAAAATAGAAATCAGAGACTGTTGATCACAGGATTGGTTCGAGTGTGAACAATTCAAGCCACCCCCATCAGTCATATACTGTATGAAACTGAGATCTACTTCAAAGATCCTTGGGCCTTCTCCCTTTCCATCAATCTCTTCATGTGTGGGACTATGAGACTGGAATCAGTTCCTTCATTTTCACTCTTAATTTTCTCCATTTGAAACCATCGTTTTCAAAAATAGCATCTTACAGACCAGGAATAGTTTGCAACAGGACGCATTTCTGATGGCAGCATGTGTGTAATTGATTGCAGCCAAACAGGCCAAATATAGTGTAAGCAGTTAAAAAGCTTACACAAGTGCTTTAGTTATGGGAGGAGGAGCAGGACAGGAGCTCTGCTTTTACACCACCCAACAGTTGTTATGGGACACAATTCTTTGCTGGCTTCTAGAGTGGGACAGCACATCAGCTGGTGATGGAGGAGGATTCTCCATCCCTTGCATTCCCTGTTTCCTTATGTACTTCGGGTGTCAAATGCCAAGAAAATGTATTTGCAAATAAGATGAGAAAGCTGAATTATGGTTCTGTTTGTCCCTTGTACACCTCCTTTTGTGCTTTTGTCCCCCAGTACTGTGTCAGCTGAATTTGGATCCCGGGAGAGGAGCGGTTACATGTACAGAGACCTGCTCTTCTTTACTTTCCAGGTTACCCTTAATGAATGAATTGTTGCTTTGTCTGAATATTTCAGTATATCCTCTTTTAAAAATGCATTCAGCCCAGGAAGGAAGCAGGAAGCAACACTAACTGAAGCAAGTAGTCACACATGAATAATTTCAGTAGAGTAAATGCAATGGGATTGATCCTGCAAGGGACAGAGCTATATCCCCAATGGGGTCTGGACATTGTAATCTTGTGATTTGTAATTCTCACAGCCTAAATGGTTCTCCAGTCCTGGTTCAAGGACTAAATAATAAAAAAGCCATCAAGATGAGCACATATTAGTTAGAAAAAATGTCAGAGGAGCAGGTCCTCAATATAACTCTCAAAAGATGGTTAAGACCGTTGTTTCACTAATGGTTGCCAGCTATAAGTGCAAGTTAAGCACTTCAGTTAGGTAAGCCATTCCTCATTAAAAAAATGAAAGACACATGTTGTCACAATTTAAAACTAAACAGCTCAGTGGTTAGAGCCAGTATTCAGGAGGAGATTTGTTTTGAATCCTTATCCACCCAGAGCTGGAGCGAGGGCTTGAAGCCTCCCCCGCCATGTGCCAAGACAGGGCAGGGAGGGGGAATCCTGATCTCACTCGGTAATGATGCTAAGGAGAATAATTAAATATTCATCGAAGTGAGGACTTGACCTAACTCATCCACATCTCTGATGAATGCCCTCATTACCAGTCTACAGAGTAATATTTTCTCTCTTTCTGTCCAGATGCATACTTAATTTCTTAGGCAACGTGAGGAGAGCTCCAAACAGGACGACCGAAAAGAAAGCATTCTCGCATACATAACGTCTCGGTGGTTGGAGCTCTCTGCTGGCAGGAGGGAGGCTCAGCCCAAGCTCCTTCTTCAGCACAAGACAACCGAAGGGCAGCCTCATTACGGAGTGAATTTTCCAGGGGCTAAATATGCACTGGAACCAGCCAGGTGGCTAAACAGGAACTGTATTAATAAAATGTAAATGAAGTACACATTGCTCCTCCTCGCTGTTTCTCAGGTATAGCCCAGTCCAGGAAATGGGCTAGATCAGGCACTCCAGGAAAGAGGGGATGGATGGGAGAGCTATTTTGAGATTTCTGTGGGGCTTTGGCTCCAAGCAGCTCAGGGGCATTAAAGCCAAAGTACATGCTTGGTGGGCAGAAACCTGGGTGCCAAAGAGACTCTTGCCAGTGCAGTTTAGACATGTTTAGAGGTTGGCAAAGGCTAGCCATAACATTTAATATTCTCTTTGGTAAATGTATGTAAATGTTAGGTGTCTAAGTGAACCTAATCCTCAGTGTTTCTAAAAGGCTTGCTACTTCAAAACCTCACAAGAAATCCAGGATCCCTGGTGCTTTGCTGAGGTCAGTCCAAGACTGGCATATGGTTTTCTCTTTGTTCTTTTGTGGATCACTCAGTGACTCTTAGGGCAGTTCCAAGTGTGAATGGATACCTGTAGAGCCTTTAGACTATGCTATGTAATTCCTGATGGGTATGACAGTCTTGTTAATTAAAAACTTATTTTATCATTTCAGATTGACTTACTAGTGGGCTGTTCCATATCCTTTTGTCTTGGTAAAGCCTATTGATATTGCAACCACTAATGCTGGTAAACCTGAAAAAAATCAAAACAGTAATAACCATTAGATGCTGAGCAAAATATTGCTGTTCTGCCTGGACAAAAAATGACAGGGCAAGCTAATGCAAAATGGTCAATTTTACATGGAATGAATGATTTAACGAAGCACAGTGCTATTGCAGGATTTCTTTTTCTGAAGCACTGGCAGGGAGGACGACACTGTTTTCTGCCCGCGGTGTACCACTTTGATGTAGCTAAATTACTGGTACTTTTGACAGGTCTTGAAGTGAACTAGGAAGAGGCTTCATGAATATTCAGTGAATGTTTTTTCTTGTTTTATTTTGATTTCTTGATATTATACTACTTTGCTGGAAATCTTCTAGAATTTTGTTAAAACGTATTTATAAAAGAATGCTAAAATATACACCAGCATAGCTTGAGCTTGAGATAAACTGGAAAGGCTCCTAAGTTAGTCTTCTTTTTAGTAATGTGCTACTATCTTTCAGGTTTACTGAAGAAAATGATGATATACTTGACATTGTCGCTGCATTAAACTTTTCATTCCAATGATTCTGAGGAGATGAATTCTACAGACTTACCCCATCCAAGGCACAGGAAACGTTTCCTTATGAGCCGTGTCCTAATTTTTCCAGTAACAGCCATATATGACTGCCACGCTTCTGTCAAAACCCAACAGAATGAAGCTAAGAAGAAGAAGTGTAAAAATGCGGTGGTTGTGGTGCAGATGCCCTGCAGGGAGTAAAGAGAAGCTCATGTTGAATGTTTAGGGACACTCATTTCTCTTTTCAATTCAAAGAGTTGTCATAATCTATCATCTTGACCTTTATCCTTAACATCAACTCCCCCTTCATGATGTGGTGGTCACAAAGATAGAAAGAAAGAAAGAAAGAAAGAAAGAAAGAAAGAAAGAAAGAGAGATGTTGATAGGGATTAGGCAGAAGAGGTTTTGACTCTTTTCCCAAACACTGAGTGTGCCAAGCAGGGACAAAGAACACAAAATAAATCATGCCACCAGATTTTTTCTCTACACATTTGCTTTGAGCAGGGATCATCGTAAAGTCATTGTGGCAAGCAAGTTACAAAGTTACTGATTATAAAATCTTACAGAGCTGAATAAAGAAAATGTGGGGATACAAATGCTCCTAATTACCAGTTATATTTTCTTTCCCTCTGTGCAGAAAGATCCTGACTGTAAATCTGAATTTTAGGCAATAAATTAAGTTTTATTTATTTGATTTTTTATTTAAACCTTATAGAACGTTAACCTATTGAAATATACTGCCTGATATCTTTTTAGTCAAGTTTAAGTATCATAACCTTAACAATTACACTGGATATTGTTTTTATGGGTGTCAGTCATTTGTCATCTGAAAAGTATTTTGAGCACATGCAATCAACTTTCTTTTGTCACTGTAGCCCTTAATTAAACTTGACATTGTAGCTTATATAAATGAGCTTCTTGGCATAAATGATGATCTACCCTCCACTGTGTTACTTAAAATGCCAGTTGCAGGCTATAAAATGCAGTGTGCATTGTACCCCAGAACTGAAAGCACACCACTAATGTTGAGAATATCCTTATCACAATTTATCCTTATCACAATTTGAAGCGCCAAAATTATATCAAGGTTAAAAAAAAAAAAAATTCGCACACCCAATATTAACAATGCAAGATCGTAGTTGAGAAATGTCAATATTATTTTTGATTGATTCTTTATGCAGCATACACATTTAATAGCTATCTTACACGCATGTAATAAAAGGCTAGTCAACTTTTTTTACTAAAATCCCAGTTCAGCAAACTATTTAGGGAGAAAATATGTAATGTCCTAATTATATATAGATGCTTACATAGATTGTTGAATCAAGGCTGGTAGCTATAAAAATTTGAGAAGGATAAGGTATATATGATACCACTCAAGTTTTTTAGTTCATTTTATATTCCTAATTACTTTCAGGTCTTTTTGTTTTGAATTTTCTATTGTGTTAATTTTCCCAGTTTCTTATCTGAAATCAATTGTGTTGGTTCACTCCAACAGTTATCTAAAATACATAGCTGATAGCTGATATCAGCTGATATTAGCATTAGCTGACATCAACCCCTGAACTTTCAAACAGTTATGCACTTGAAGAGTCAAAACTTAATGATTTCCTGCTGTGAATTTACAGATGTCACAAATACCTTGTTTTCTAATCCTGGGTCAAATTGCCTATTTAAATCTGGGGGAACGGGGTTTTTGTCACTGTAGCCCTTAATTAAACTTGACATTGTAGCTTATATAAATGAGCTTCTTGGCATAAATGATGATCTACCCTCCACTGTGTTACTTAAAATGCCAGTTGCAGGCTATAAAATGCAGTGTGCATTGTACCCCAGAACTGAAAGCACACCACTAATGTTGAGAATATCCTTATCACACAATTTATTTATCACAATTTGAAGCGCCAAAATTATATCAAGGTTAAAAAAAAAAAAAATTCGCACACCCAATATTAACAATGCAAGATCGTAGTTGAGAAATGTCAATATTATTTTTGATTGATTCTTTATGCAGCATACACATTTAATAGCTATCTTACACGCATGTAATAAAAGGCTAGTCAACTTTTTTTACTAAAATCCCAGTTCAGCAAACTATTTAGGGAGAAAATATGTAATGTCCTAATTATATATAGATGCTTACATAGATTGTTGAATCAAGGCTGGTAGCTATAAAAATTTGAGAAGGATAAGGTATATATGATACCACTCAAGTTTTTTAGTTCATTTTATATTCATAATTACTTTCAGGTCTTTTTGTTTTGAATTTTCTATTGTGTTAATTTTCCCAGTTTCTTATCTGAAATCAATTGTGTTGGTTCACTCCAACAGTTATCTAAAATACATAGCTGATAGCTGATATCAGCTGATATTAGCATTAGCTGACATCAACCCCTGAACTTTCAAACAGTTATGCACTTGAAGAGTCAAAACTTAATGATTTCCTGCTGTGAATTTACAGATGTCACAAATACCTTGTTTTCTAATCCTGGGTCAAATTGCCTATTTAAATCTGGGGGAACGGGGTTCTATATAATTATATGCAAGAGAACGATTGTTTATTTTAAAAAAGTGAAGAATGTAAACTGGAAAAAACCAGCAGATCCTGAAAATGCACTAATCATTCCACCCTACATTTTGCCATTAATTCTTATGTTTAGATGTCTAAAGTACGTGGATTCATAAAATCTATCCTGTTAAAGCCTGGCTGATAGCAGTATTTCCTGTATACGAAAAATAAATACTTATTTAAAATGAAAGCTATGCAGTGAAACACACCATAAATATAATAGAAAATACGGAAATGTCCTTTCTTTTACTAGCTGGCTCATATGTTACAGATTCCCACTATGCAACTTTAATTTGCTTTCCTATCAAAGTTTTTGTGAAAGCTAGCATGTTCTGTTGGAACGAGAATTTGACAATAAAATGACTTTTGAGGAATAGTACAGAATGTTTTAGGGAGAAACTGCATAGGTAAAACACAATATTACCCCGAAAAAAATGCAAATACACTATTTCCCTTATAAATAATGCAAATACAAACAAAACCTGATCTTTTTGGTGAAAACATTGCTAACTCTTATGGCTGACAGAGTATAGACTGTAGGGTTTAGTTCATAATTTATCCCCTGTATTGAAAGAAAGACAGACGATAATCTGAGACAAAGGTGGACATGGCTGTTGTGGAAGAAAGAACTGTGATGAAAATGTTAATGATCATGTTGATCACAAAATGAGAAGACAGAAGCAAGTTTTATTAGAAGCGATCTGTGCTCTAGCTGGAATGTATGACTGCTGATTATAACTAACTCTTCTGAATGGCAGACAGGGATCTTTAATGAACACTGATGGTAAGTCTGAATCACTGATATAACAGCGTATTTGCATCACATGCCATCAGAAAGATGCAAATCAGCCTCAAAACATCACCTAACAACCGCTGAGGGATCGTGATGACAGAATCATGTGCAGGCAGTGCTTGAAGTAAGTTCAGCCTCCCTCCCTCCCCAGCCAAAGAAGCAGTCCTGGCAAATGAAACTCCCCTCTCCCAGGTATAGCCATGGGCTCAGCACGGTTGACCAATACCCCCCTGGAAATCTGGCTTTTATGTACTGCTGAATTCTTCCCCTTTGATAAACAAATAAATAAACAATGCTGTTATGTCTGGGAAAGTGCTATATCTGGGAAGTCTATTTCCAAATAGGAACAAAAATTCATTTTCACTAAAGGTTGTTATTAAATGGGGCATTGAGTATCTCTAGCCAGGGAACCATAATTTTAGCAAGTACTTTGTTAGTATTTTTTTCTTTCTCACCAGGTCATGGACTACTCCCAATCTCTCCTTCTCCCTCTCCTCTTCTCCCTTGCCAAGGGACCACCACCTCCCCTCACCTTGCTGTACGTGCAGCAGCATCACTAAAACCTTGTGGCCCATCACTCACAGAAAGCTACAGTGTGTCAACCTGTCTGCACCCAGAGATAGTGGTACACATCTTCTCCATTGCTTTAGGAGGAGATGTTTCTTATTTGTTTCTAATTCTAGTTTATTAAAACTCACTGAATTAATTACCTGTGCTGAGCACCTGTCAACTTGCAACAAAATGAATTTTAACAGCCTAATTTATTCACTATTTCCTCAAGCTTCTGAAATTAAGTCAACTCTGTTACTCTAACCTCCTCTTCCTCCCATTGCTGTTGTTCTCAGCTCCCCATATTTATTTCTAATTACAAGCAGGGGAAGGGAACTTTTCTGTCCTCAGAATGCACAATTTCATGAGCTTTAATTGAGCTTCAAGTGTTTAGCTACCTTGAATATCTAAGTAACACCATTCATCCCTTTTTAATAAACAATATACTATTGAAAGCAAGAGCTCACATCAGGTACCAAATTATTTCCTTCTTTCATTCTTGTAAGACGCCCACTCTGAATCAGGGTACTGAAGCACAGCTGAGAAATGTAAAAAACAGTGCAAATTCAAAGCTACTTATTCTAGCGATTAATATCTTTAATGTAATAATGATGAATAATATAGAGAACATTTATCCATTTTTATGACCTACAAAAACTAGGTCATAAATGCAACCTCAAAATAATCATTTATCATTATTTTTGGTGCATCCGGTTGGTTTTTTTTTTTAATAGAACAGTGTTATTTTTAATAGCAGTGTGAACAGATCTTCCACACAAAGACAAAGAGGGTTAAATAAGGACACCTGATTGGTCTTCTTGCCTTGAAACAGGTTCTTTTTCCTTCAACAAACTAGTTGCCTGTCTCTGGGTTCTGATAAATAGCATAAGAATCAAAGCTACTGGAAAATGAACATGAAAAATGAAATCTGTATTGGTGATAGCAAAATGAATAGGGCTAAAATCCACTCAGCTGGATTATGTCATGAAGTAAAAATGAAAGCTAGCAGAAAATCATTTAAATAATAAAATTTCTTGGAGATTAAAAAAAATCCTGCCCTTGATTTAGCTCTGTGGAGATAAGCCTAAGGACAGAAATTAAATGGGATTTAGCTCATAAGCCTAAGGAGATAAATTAAATGGGTGTTAATTTTATATTTTATTGCTTTTTGTGACTCTCAAGTCCTCAACTATATATAAAAGTTTATCTTTTCCTTCTTTAAATTAAATGTAAATTCATAAAGGAACATACTGCTTATTGTTCTTAATTTGCTTTTT